TCTCTCTCTCTCTCTCTCTCTCTCTCTCTCTCTCTCTCTCTCTCAACATATAGCCAACGAACTCTTTATTCCATGGGTAATTTATTTTTGACCATAGTGTCTTGTCATAGCAACAAAAAGTAACTAATACACAAGTTGTGAGTCCTCTGCAATAGTGCCAAGTGCTCTAAACCACTGAGCCATCTCTCCAGCTCCCAACTTTCTCTGGTATGGAGATTAACTTTCCCATGTTCTTGGCACTGTTCTGTTTGCACATGACTCATTTGGCCCCTCGAATCAAAACTCTGAGGATGGCAGTGTGATTACACACAGGGACATTGGGACACAGAGATACTGTAAAACTTGTAACAGGTTAAACAGCAAGCAAAATCCAAACCAGACTCAGAATGCAGGTAGTCTGTCTTATGAACTGTACTGCTCTTAGATGACCAATCAGCAGCGTTGGGTAAGAGGTGAAAGAACCTCCAAATATGATTATAACTCAAGGGAAAGCTAGTTTCAAAATGCCTGATCCAATCACAAATCTTGAATTTTAAAAAGGTGATTTAATACTAGAGCTGAGGAGAAAGAAATCACATATTAATACAAAACATACTTTATTCAGAGGACCATGATAAATGCTTCCACATAGGATTTCTTTAACTTCCTCCTCCAAATCTCATTATTGGTTCTCTCACACATGAACACTTGGGAAATGGATTCTTCATGTCCAAGTAGCTGGTTGGTAGTGGAGTTGGAATTTAGAGTCTACTCAGTATTTCTTCAGTTTCTGAATATTTTTATTCTAGTTTAGAAAATAAAAGAACCCCTTCTCTGAAAGGGAAAAATGAAGTTTGTTTAGTAATTTAGAACTCTGGTGCTTTTCCATGGGAAGGGCTTCTCTAAGGGGGAGTCTTTGAGATTTGGCATCATTTCCTAGAGTCACCAGGACTGTGGGGAGGCTAATGGGACGCAGGTGAGCACTGGGAGTTTGTAAAATCTCAAATAGCTTTCTCAAAGACCAATAATACCATGATTCTGAATTTCTTGCTGTAACCCCTGGCCTATCTAGAGGTTTTACTAGAGAGCAATTAAATATCCCAACTCAATCTAATTTATACTTAAGAGGGAAGAAATAACAAATTGGATGAGCCCAAACTCAAGACAATTCTTCATTTTGAGTTGCTTTCTACAATTGAGGAGGTCAGTACTTTCTATTTTATTGTGAAGTGAGTAATAGCTTCTTTGGGGTTCTGACATTTTACCACTGCCAGGGCTATAGCCTAATAGTTTATGACAAGGATACAGTTCTGTCTGGGAGAAAAGCCATGCTCCCAAGTCCATCCTGACTCACCTTGGGTTTAACAACATATTTCCCTCAGGACAGTCTCTGATTCCTGTTTATGAAGATCTCAATATTTTTTTTCCTTTCACCATCAGGGCAACTAGGAAACTGCCTAATACAATAGGGCATATGTCCTTTAATTCTTAGCATCATTAAAGGTTGCTTAACACTATATGGAATTTCTGTATCATACTCCCTCTCCCTCAAAGCTTAGGGATCATCATGGGAGAGTGAGTAGAAATAATGTAAGGGTCAAAGGTTGGGGGGAACTACTCAGAAAGTATTTTCTAGACACAAGGTTGTTACACATGAACTCATAGTGGCTGAAGTTGCCTACACAAGACCTTTGTAAGATACAACCTAACAATACTCCAATATGGATGGTGCAGTTCATGGTGCCTTACCCCTAGCTGGAAGCTTTTAGCAGTGATGGCTGATGCAGGATGGAGAGTTATTATTTCAGGGAATGTGGGCCTTGACATACTGCCTATGTGACAGGGGATGACTCTACACCTGTGTACATACTAGAAGGGCTAATTAGACCCATGAATTAAAAATAGAAGACATGAACTTCATAGGGAGACTTGGTGGGGGCTGTTTGAGCATTGCAGAGGAGGGAACAGGAAAGGATATGATTAAAACACAGTGTGTACATGTATAGAAGTCTTAAACAGTAAGTAAAATACATATTTAAAAAGCTGTATTCTACCCGGGGCTAGTGAAGCAATGGATCTTGGAGGAGGACCTACAATCATACTTTACTAAGCCAGCATAATCACTAACTACATTCTAAATATTTGTCATTATGGTCACAGATAAGTGTATCGTCACCCCTCACCAAGAAAACTTTTCTTTGCAACCTATGAAGACTACAGAAAACCACAACCAATAAAAACACAGTTGTTGAGCCCAGTCCTCATGGATACATCTACAAAACAATTCCTGCACCTAACTTTAGAAATAACTGAAGCTATTTTATTTTAGTTTGATGAAATGGCGTCTGAAACAAGTGATTACAATCAAATTATGATTTATGAGTAGTGCCAAGAGCTTGTTGATGGCCAAGAGGTGAATGGGCAAGGAAAGATTAAACAATGTCAGACTTTTGGCTTTAGTAACAAAATAACCACCAACATCATTGCCAAAAATAGGAAAAGCCAAGGTTTAGACAGTGAAATTTTTAAAGTCTTTCCAGCTTTAACTGTCCTTGACCCTCAGGAGAAGCCACAGCAGGTGCAATGTAGACAGAATTTTGGGCTAAGTGTCTTTGGTAAGCAGCTGCAGTAGTCACAGGAAGAAAGCCTATTCTTGCCAGGAGTCCCAGTGAGGACTCAGAGGTGAGAATCGTGGCTGAGCTTGAGCAGACTTGCTGATCTAGCACAGGCAGGAGCAGGCACACTTTGTCTCTCAGACTTGGCTGCCTGGTCCAGAAACAAATCTCATATCATACCTTTTATCACTGATATTAATTAGGGGATGTCAAAGTCACCTTTAATGCATCAGAAAAAAATCTGTGCTAAAAGACCATTTCTACTTTAATCATTTCCAGTATTCCATGCTTTATTTATTTAATTTTATGTTTATATATGTGCCCCATTATATATATGTGTACCATGTGTGCAGGAGCCCATGTTGGTCAGAAGAGGTATTGGATCCCCTGGATCTGGAGTTAAAGACAGTTGTGAGCTGATATGTGAGGCGTGGGAGCCAGACCTAGATCTTCTGCATAAGCAGTAAGTACTCTTAACTACTTAGCCATCTCTCTAGGCCCTTAGGCAGTTGTTTTATATATTTTCTCTCCTTTGTTATGTTTAAGTTGAAATTAAAATATAATCACATCGTTTTGCCCCTACATTTTCCTCCTTCCAACCTCTACCATGTCCCTTCCAATCTTTCCATGTCCCTCTTCACTTCCTCTAGAATTCATGTCCTAACTTTTTTGTTAGGACATGAAATTTAAAATTTAAAATTTAAAATTTCTTTTAATAATTTCATGCACGTATGCAATCTATTATGAACATACTATTACTCTTTTTTATACTTTTCCCATTCCTAGTCTCCCTTCCTTTTCTCAGCCATCTGCCTTCTACATACCATATATTTTGATCATTTTCCCCTCCCCCAACTTTTCCCAGATCCTCCTGCCTCTCTGTCCACCCAACTTTATTTTTTTTCTCTCTCTCTCTCAAAAACTCTAACAATCTCAAAAGACAAATATTAAAACAAACAAAAAAATCCAAAGCAAAACAGAGAAAAAAAAAAAGCCCAAACAAAAGAAAATAAAACAGAGTGCCCCCAAAACTCCCAGGGAGTTGGTATCATCATTCAATGTTGGTCAATTAGTCCTTGGCATGGTGTCTACCCTGAGTATGACTGTGACACCCAGTGACACTCCATTATAGAAAACTTAGTTTCCATTTACCAGTATGTACCATTGTAAATAGCTTCTTGGTTAGGTGTGGGACTTTGGGTCTGCTTCCTCCCCTCATTGTTGGGTCCATGGCCTTTTTTTTCTTTGATTACTGTCATTACACACACTACACACACACACACACACACACACACACACACACACACACACACACACACAACCTTCTGAGTCTGTTTAGTGTTGCTTGTATGTGTACAATTTCAGGGCTGATCAGTTGATAGTAGATAACCAGTCGGGGGCTTATCTCTGGGGAAGACTAATTCTTCCTTTCTCAACATTCCTTAGTTTGCTTGCAGTTCTTTGTCTAGGGCTGAGACTCCATGAGATTGCCTCCTTCTATGCTAGTATGTCTGTTGGTACTGTCATTATTTGAATCTTGCTTAGGTAGCCATAGTATTGTGATATAATACAGGTAGTTTCACAACTCTTGATTCCAACTATGAGTCACAAGGAGTAGATGCAACTATATTCATTTTATTAATAGAAAAAAATAAATTAAGTGCCAGTGAGATGGCTCAGTGGGGAAAATTACTTGCTACCAAAGCTGATGACCTGAGTTTGGTCACAAGAATCACAAGGAAAGAATCTATTCCTCCTGTAAGTTGTCCTCTGACCTCCGCATGTGTGTAGTGGCACTTGACTATATGCATGCCTACACACATACACACACATACTAAATAAGTACATAAATAAAATTTAAAACCTAAGAATAACAGGAAGGCATATAAAAAAGAAAGTAAAGTAAAGGGAATGAGTTAAGATTTCTTTCCTTGTGGAGAGGACAGGGAGAGTGTAAGCAGTGGAACATAGTCATTGCGCATAAGGTGTAGGCTAAAGATTGGGAAGTTGAGTCTTTGGAACATGGGTTGGTTAGAGTTTCTATTCTGCAGTATTTCAGGACTAACAGACTTTCTGGTCTCCAATTTCCTTGTTTGCTCCGGTTGGGTAACAGATTGAAATGTCCAACAAGAATCCCGCATTCCTGGAGTAGCTGTTCCTGTTAGAGTAGCAGTTTTGCTGGGATCCAAGGACTCCACACCCTATTGTAAATGTATTTCTTCTTAAACTGGATAAACTAGAATTAAGAAATCCACAAGAGAGATTAATATCAGGTATGAGTATAAGAAGCAGAAGTCCTAGGGAGCATCCTGGGATAGAGGAGGAAAGATAGGGAGAACCAAAGCTTGGGGAAGATGGCAGTGAGACAATGTCTCTGGACATGACAGGGCTGTCTCATTCATCAACTCACAGCAGCTGTAGTTCCTTGCACATGGATTTCACAAGATCACACCAGCCAGACTTCTATTGTGGATGGGCAAGGAATTCATGAGTCCCTCACCTTTAGCTAGGGAGCTACTGGCAGTTGGCAGATGCTGGGGAAGGGGGCAGTTAGCTCCCTCCCTACACCGCGGCGTTGCCCCTCCTGGCTGGTCGCTGCCCGCAGCGACCATGCTGTCGGAGCAGCATGCTGATTAAAAGAATCATAGCCATGGTTACCTTTTAGAGCTTTATTGGGGGCGGGGGAGAGGGGAGAGAAAGAGAGAGAGAGAGAGAGAGAGAGAGAGAGAAACAGAGACAGAGAGACACAAAAGGGGGGGAGGGGGAGAGGGGAGCCGACGGGAGGAAGGAGCGGAGAGGAGAGGGGACAGAGAGAGCCCACAGAGGGCCCACCTGCTTTTTAGGCTGGGAAGCCGGCGAAGGCTGTTGACGTAATTAAGGATCAAATCCTTACACCTCACCTCTAGCTAGGGAGCTACTGGCAGTTGGCAGATGCTGGGGAAGGGGGCAGTTAGCTCCCCCCCGCCCCCGGCCCCTCAGTGCTGTGGTCCGTGGTGGATTGCTTTTTCTCCAGCAGATCTACATTCATGCAGATATAGGCATCACTAATCAGACTCTGGGTTACAAAAAAAATGACATGAAAGTAGGAGGGAGGGGGAGTAGATATGATCCAAATCGCATGCAGGTTTGAAATCCTCAAAGAGTTTCATAGGAAAGGGAATCTGGGATTGCAGAGAATGAGGTTAGGTTGGGTGCAAAGGCAGGGGGCACCGTGAGACGAATCTGTGATAGTTCACTGCTCAGTAGCAAAACCTTCACTGGATGACCTTCAGTGGAGGAACAGCTTTGTTAGACTCACAGCTGTTATTGTGTAGACATTGTTGTACATCTGCAGGGAACTTGTGATCCACAGTACATCAGTATTACAGGGAACTTTTGATCCACAGAACATCAGTATTAGTATTTTCTGGGAGCTTGTCTATCTAGCCAGACTATATTTTAACAGGATTCGCAGATAAACTGATAAGAAATAGCTATTTATACTGAAGAACTTAAAGGAAAGCAAGCTGGGTGTGGTAGATACCTATGTTCCCAGCACTTGGTGGTGAAGATAGGATTCCCCATTCACCTGACACAGGCCACATCTCTGCTATCCCAGTTTTGTTGTGCAGGAATTTCTACCAAAAGGCATGGTATACATCTCATTGGGTAGAAGCTCTGGCCTCTGGCTCCTGATTCCCTCGAGTCATCTGGATAACAGAGGAGGGTAATTGATACAGACTGCTGTGGAAAATTGAACTGCTTGTCCACAGTGGAGGTATGGAAGATTATACCTGGAGAGCAAGAGATCCTGTAAGGCATCTCTTGGTGTCATCATGTTCTATAATTAAGGTCAATAGGAAATTATGGCAGCATAATCCAAACAGGATGATAAATGTTCTAAACCCTTCAGGAATAGTCACCCTTCTGAGCAAAACAGCAGCACCTGCTGATGTGCTTTCTGAGAAGAGGGAAAACACAGAATAAGTAGTAGAAGATGTTCACCATCAATGCCAGCTAAGGTCACCCAACAAGTTACAGAAATGAGGATTGTAATTGCCAAGAATATTTTCCCCTGTGTGGTGAGCCACAGGAATATGTTATAAGGATTCCAGCTGTGTATTAAAGCTATACTTTGACTGGCCAAGGGTCTGTCAAAAGGCAAGCCATTTATTATGAATATTTGGTGTTATCCAGCCTTTAATATTTCAGCTGTCTTCTATGAATTTCTTGCATGCCAAAATATTCCCAGACCATTTGGCAAACAGTTCAGCTCCTTAGACCAGCTGAACTTCTAGGTAACTAACTCTCTCCCCCCACCCCGCCCCATGCCCCCAGCCTAGGAGACAAGCTGTCTGAAGGTCCATAGCTTTGTTTCTTGTGCTAATGAAGCTCCGACCATCCCCTTGCCTTGAAGCCTACTGTCTCTCTGACTGAGAACAAAAGAGGTTTTTACATATCAAGGTGGAAGTTAGGGAGGAGCAACATTCCTGAGGGGGCAGAGAACCTTGTGGCCAGGGGAAGAAGGAACAGGTTTCTTTCTGTAGAGGCAGACAGAATGGCATGACCAGGGAGAAGGAAAGAACACAGAGGTTTTGTAGATGGTACGGCAGAACTCTTGTAGAGTTCAGAGCCAGGAGTAGAGAGCAAGTAGAGAAGGAGGGCAAAGAAGATAAAGATGAGGCTGGAAGTAAAAGGGCTTAGTTGTTAGCAGGACTATGGGAGGCCAGTAAATGAGGGAACAAAGAGGAACTGAGTGTCAAGACGGAACTGAAGCTATGTAGACAAGATTTCATTCCAGAGAAATAAAATAGACGGACAAGGAGCTTGGTGTATCTAGATTTATTCCTGCCCTGAATGCCCGATGAACAGAGCTGTAGCTGTAAAGATAAAATTTTGACATAGCAGAATAAAGTTAACAGACATAGTAGCATAGTGTACATAGATTTTTTTTTCCCCCTCAAATATCCCATGCCAGACCTAGCATCTTCCCCGGACTCTGGGAAATCCATACCCCTATTTATAAAATTTTCTTTCTTTTTTTTTTTTTTCTGAGAATTTCATAAATGTATACAATAAAATATAATAGCTACTCTCCTCACCATAACTCCTCCCATATATTTTTCAACATGCATCCTTCTAAGTAGCATGTCTTTTAAAAATTTACCTGGTGCATGAGCTGTCTTTTTGGAACCCATTCCTTGTGGTGGGATGCCTTGCTCAGGTTTGATGCTGTGGTGGGATGCCTTGCTCAGGTTTGATGCGGGGAGGAGGAGCTTAGCCCTGCCTCAACTTGATATGCCATGCATTGTTGACTCCCATGGGAGGCCTTACCATTTCTGAGGAGTGAACGGGAAAGTTAGAAAGGAGGTAGGTAATAAAAGGACCAAGCAGATGCCATAACAGGCTGCTCAGTCTTCTCTCAGAGATCAGGCCTCAATTTCAGTTTCCTGAGACTGAACAAACAGTCTCTGGGAGGGCCGTGAACAAAAGACATAGTCCTTGCAGTAGCTCCCTTTCTGCATGTACTCTGACTGCTCAAAGTTCAGCCAGATGTTTACTGTCTGGGACCCCTCACCAACTTAGAGTTATGAGCATGAGTCAAGGACAGAGCCTAGACCACTGAGCCAGCCCCCACAGTCAGTAAGTGCTAGGCCAGCCAGCCCCCATGGTAGCTCAAGGACAAAGCCTGGGACTTGTCCCGGACAGCCCCCAAAATGATAATTGTAAACCCAACCAGTAAATTCAAAGGTTACATACCCTCACCCAATTAAAAGAACAGAGATAAAAATAAACCAATCCAAGTTGCACTTGTGCAAACCACCCCCCCCCCAACTGCCCTGAAGGGCTTGTGGTTTTTGCCTTTAAATAGCTAGCCTCACAAAGAAAGAGCAACTCCTCCCTGCCTCACTGTATTGGGTGTAGGAATGAGTTCCCTATCTAGACTTGTATCTACAGAATAAACCTTGCTGTTGCATTCTAGACATCCAAGGACTTCGGTGGTCTCTTTGGGGTCACAATCTGGGCATAACAGGCGAGGGAACAGGAAGTGGGGAGGGGAAACTGTGGTTGGTATGTAAAATAAATAAAAAAAATTAATAAAAAATTTACCTACAAAATCCAATTAGTGCTGTTCATGTGTGCATGGATGTAAGACTACCTACTGCATGGGCAATGTACCAGTGGCTGTATCCTCAGGGAAAAAATAAAGATTCTCCCACGCCCAGCAACTATCCACTGACAATAGTTACTTAATAAGTGGCGAGGCCTAGAGATTATCCACCTCATCTATACTCAGATTTTGGTTGATTTTCTCTTGCAGGTCTTATGTGAGTAATCATAGATGTGGTGAATTCATGATTGCAATACCCATGACATGTCTAGAAGACAATATTTCATGGTATTCCTCTCCACTCTTTGGCTCTTAAATTTTTTCTGTCTTCTTGTCTTCCACAATGTTCTCTGAGCCTTGTTGTTGATAGAGTTGATATAAATGTCCTATTTAGAATTGACTATTCAGTCTCTTGTTCTCAACACTGACCAATTATGCAAATCTCCATTGACCATTGTCCTTCCTTCTCTGACCAAAACTGGAAGCAACCCAGGTCTACAGATATAAATATAAATATCTGGAATGTAATTTGACAGCATGACCATTTAGTAAAATGACAACTGCAAGTTCTAGCATAGAGCCTATGATATCCCCAGACATGGGCTGTTAATAAGGATTACAGTACCAGGAATGAAATTACCTTCTGTGAAGAAGGCCTTAAATCCAACCAGAAAGTGTTTAAGTACACCTCTAAAGATGCATCAGTGATATTGCAGCAAGTGTCTAGAGCCAGGTAAGATCTTTGATGCATTTTTTTTCCCACCTAGCAAATTGCAAAGCATTTTCTAGGAGCATGAAAGCCAGTTAGCAAGGAAGAAGTCTCCTGGTTAGTTTGCTACTGATTTCTCTAAGTCCTAAAGCCAAAGTTTGTGGTGTCTTCAGCTATAGAATTTAGAATGTAGTTATGATAGGCCACTGAAGGAAGTGGTATTGGCCTGTGTTGTTTTGGAAACCTCTGGGACCTCCATGACCAGTGTCTTATAGGGTGCTATCCATGCCTTATATTGTGATTTTTTTTTTTAAGGGACATATATGTAGCTGGAGTTATCTCCAGTCCTGCCTGGTCCTGCAGCCACTCAGACCCAAATAAACACACAGACACTTATATTATTTAAACTATTTGGCCTAACAGCTCAGGCTTCTTGCTATCTGTTTGTATATCTTAAGTTAACCCATTTCTATTAATCTATAAATTGCCATGTGGCTTGTGGCTTACTGGTACTTTTACATCTTGCTTCTCATGGTGGTGGCTGGCAGCATATCCTCTCTCAGCCTTCCACCTCCCAGAATTTTCCTCTCTCCTTATCCCTCCTACACTATACTTCCTGCCAGGCTCCTGGCCAATCAGCATTTTATTTATCAATCAATCAGAGCAACACATTTACAGCATCCCCAGCACATGTAAACACACATACATTAATCAGTTATTTGGACTACTGAGGCATCCAGTCTCATAGACTGATCAACTTTGCTAGGCTCTCAGCTTCCCCAGCATGAA